TCTCGCCATCTGAACCCCCCCCCCCCCATATCACACACCGTCACAAAACTACGGACCCCCCTCCACCCTACGAGTGTGACGTCATTTATGGACGACCCCTTATAAAACACATTTCATTTTCCAAACTTATAGCGTTGATTGACGGCATGTGAATTAAATAAAATTAAAGAAAATGTATCACCCTTCACAAAAATTCTAATTGTGTATGAACATTATTTTCATTTAGTCCTGTAGCACTCATTACGTCACTTGATAGATATAATTAGGAAAACACAATTACTTCCCTTTAAAAAACCATAACATTTGGGGGAGAAATACTTATTATTATTGTGTTTTTGGTGTTGGCAAAAAATAATTACATAATTAGCGTGGATTCATAAAGTGCAATGTGGTAAGTAAAACACAGATATTTTAAATACTGCCTTTTATTTACTTTTGTAACAACTTGTATATGATCCGTAGTTGTTATTATGGGTTCTTTCATCCAAGAACACGATCAACATTACTTTTTAACTTTCAACTTTATTTACATAGATCAACAAGAATAATGACGATAAATCCATCGTAGAAAAAAACGACTATCAAATTACAATCTAGAACAAAGTGACATAGTGACATCTTACTACACAGACACAGGCAGGCACACATAGTTCACCTTGCGCTCCCCTTTTATACCTTACATTCTCTCCCCTTACGTCAGTGAGCGATCTCACAAAAAGCTTGGAAAAAACATGACTAGTCGCTCATACAGTCCTTCCGTTGGCCAGGTACTCTACATTCACACAACTTCATGTTAAAATACAATATAATAATCATACCCAATAATACAGTCTGTTACAATTTTATACACTGAACCTACTGTTTATTAAATATTATTTTTTAATCAATAACAGTTTAGAAGCTACTCCTAAATGTCCCATACGTTTACTTCTATCATTCCGTTTATGGATAAGCTTTGGGGTATTAAAGTCGTTAAATGAATTGAATTAGGCGTGTCCGCTGGCGCCCCGGCAGGGTTCGATTTGGCGCCCTGGGCCAGTGGCGTAGCGAGGTCGGGTGTCATCCGGTGCGGCACTTAATGGTGTCACCCCCAGTGGCGTAGGCAGGGGGGTTACAACCCCCCCCCCCATGGACCCCTCTGTAATTTTTTTTTACTATCATAATACCACTGTTACTTACTTAAATCTATTTTTGAATCAGTATAGATGTATAATTGTATATGTATGTTTAAAAATATCATCTAAAAACTGACGTTATGTTCACTCTGAGTAGGTTTCCCCCAACCCCCCCCCCCACTTCACCACATAAAACGGGACACACCTAGGTATACGCAGGGTAGGATAATTGACCTAAAGTGACCGGACAGCGGTGAATGAAGTTGAACCCCCCTCCCTAACCCACCACAAACTGATCTGTTGGTACATTTGGGGAACCGCGTAATGACATACCAAAGTAACTTGCTGCCAGAATAATAGCTTTTGAAACAGGTAAAACTCTTTAAATATTATTTTTGCGATTACCAGTAAATAGGTGTGTGTGTGTGCAATTCAGTGATCCAACCCACACCTTATCATTATTTAAAAAAAATGATCTTTAAAGAACATAAAAAACAGTTGCTAATTAGAAAATGTGTGGTCTCAACTGTAAGACCAATGGTTTAGTTACATGTAGGCTTTTATTTAAAATCTTCCGCCAATTAGGTTTAGTTTTAATATGAAATCGAAAAGCGTGTTTTATACCAACTCTGATTTTAAAAACTTAAATTATGCCGTAAGATTTTAGCATTTATGATGACAATATATTTAATTCTGATTGTAGACAATTCTTATATATTTTTACAAGCTTTTATTATTTAACTCACTTCCTCTGTAGACAGTCTGTCGTCAGTCGTCAGTCTAGATCGAAACGCTGGAGTGAAAATTCGGTCACTTCTACTTGACCGATACGATTCACATTTGACACGTGGGTCAAGACATGGAGACAATGCACTCTGAAATTAAATTTGGATGCCGAATTAATTTTTTATGAATTAAGTAAAATTCGGACCGAATTAGTAGGCATGTCTATCCAACCACACCACATGCGTCATCACGTTCAATAGCTGCGCCATCACGTTCAGTAGGCGCGCAATGGTTTTTAGTCATGTAACACTATTGTAAATAAAACATGTAAAGTACTGAAAAAAATTTTCATAAAAAACGTTTTAATAACAAGCTTTTATTTAATAATGCACTAAAAAGTAGAAAATAAATTATAGACTACTATTTAAATAACTAGATAGAAAAACGGGGGTGTCTTCCTTAATATTAGTAAAGGTATCCAATAGATACTAAAGTGACCCACGCTTTTCTTTATAGTTATTTAAATAGTAGTCTATAATTTATTTTCTACTTTTTAGTGCATCATTACATAAAAGCTTGTTATTAAAACGTTTTTTATGAATTTTTTTTTTTTATATTTTTGTAAAAACGAATAAAGTAAAGTTTCTTTACCACATATTAAAGTAATTAGTGATATGTTTTGACATTTACAATTAAATTTGTAGAAATAGATATATTTATATTAAGAGAGTGATTATTTCCCTTAGTTCGTTTGTCTTAATTTTCTAGAAATCATTATGTCAAATTGTTTTTAGCGCAATTTCCATTCTGGAGAATTGCGTTTATTAACCCGTCATTTCTGGATGTATGAATGTATGAATGAATGGATGGATGTGTGTCCGCAGCTTTAAGTCGTATCTCCTCCTCAACGAAGCAATATCGAGGACTAGTTCCAAAAGCAATTATGTTAAGCAAGTTACCAGGATGATAGTGGGCCAAAAAAATTCCGGGTTTCTTTCATGGATTTCCCGGAAAAGCCAAAAAACCTCGAAAAAATGCATTTTTTGGCCCATATCTCGGCAACCAGACCACTTAGCGACTTGAAACATGTACCAATCGATTCCTGCCATAATTTAGAACAATATTGCCGAAGAAAGTTTTCAAAAATATCCTTTCGTTTGGTCACAAAAATATTTTTTTTTAATTAATTAAAATTTGGACCGAATTAGTAGGCATTTTATGCAACCACACCACACGCGTCATCATGTTCAATAGCTGCGCCGTCACGTTCAAAGGCTGCGACATCACGTTCGGTAGCTAGGCGCGCAATGGTTTTTAGTCATGTTACTCTATTGTAAATAAAACATGTAAAATACTATAATTTTTTTTTATAAAAAACGTTTTAATAGCTAACCAATGGTTTTACTAACCCTGCTCTTGATTTACGCTACGAGAGAGCTATTTTTAGATAACATAAGGAAATTGCGCTAAAATTGTCACTAGACTTTTTTTAATTACTTGTTTTTACAAGGATTACAAAAAAATTGTGTTGCGTTAATAATGTGTATCTTTTTTTTTTTTTTTTAAATTTAGAGTGATACATTCTTTTATTTTGTCGGCCAACATTGTGTGTTTTTTTTTCTTATTTCTCCAGAGTACTTTCAGAGTACTTTCAATTTATTTTACATCATAGTGAAGCAATGACATATATATATATATATATATATATATATATATATATATATATATATATATATATATATATATATATATATATATATATATATATATATATATATATATATATATATATAATTATATATTTATAAAATGCTGGAAGAAATTTATTTCAACCCCCCCCATTAGCTATCCTGGCTATGCCACTGGTCACCCCCAGAGGCGTAGCGACCCTTCCCGGGGACAAACTTTCAATTGTCAATTTGCACCCCCCCCCCCTTCAAACTTTCGATTTGCAACCCCACTCAAACTTTCGATTTACACCCCCACCCCCCCTCCTCAAACTTTCGATTTGTACCTCTTAAAACACTATTTAACACTCGAATTAATAACCTAATTAAGTGGAATTATCATTTTTCTCTATATATTTTGCTATTTTTTGCCTTGGTGTCATCCCCTAAATGGTGACACCCGGTGCGGTCCGCACCCCCCCCCCCCCCCCCCGCTAAGCCTCTGCCCTAGGCTATCCTATGAGCGCTATGGTACATATTTCGTTTTAAACAGTGCGATAGAATATGGACAAGAAAGATTAGTACAGTCTTTAACTAACCCTGGGCTATCATGTGAGCGCTATGGTGCATAATTTCGTTTTAAATCTAACCGGGCGCGTCCGCCGGCGCCCCGGCAGGGTTCGATTTAGGAAATATATTACTTTTCGAATTAACCCTCACAGCCAATCAACAACAACAAAAAATCGCAAACATAACACAGAAGCAAACACAAATACAAACACAAAGGAAAACACAAAGAAAACACAAAATCAAACGCAAACAAAAAAGCAAACGAAAACAAATCCAAACGAAAATCTTGAATAGAAGTTCACGAAAAGAGCATAACCAGGGAAAACTAAGGCTATACACATTGGGGAAGTCCTTTCATTTGTAGTGTGTTACTGTAGTGTAGTAGAACCACGACAGCAATGTTTCAAAGTACCCATTCATAAGAGGTATACAGTTTCTACGCTGCGTATGTTTAACTTCGTTGTAGCCTAACGGCTGACGAAGGGGTCCATTGATAATTTTTTGCATAGGGGTCCGAAAATCCTAGCTACGCCACTGAACTAAACAATAGTTTTCATGAATTTTACAAGTGAGTCTACATCTCCTTCCATGTCCGTATGTTTAGTTTGTGATATTCTATTATTTGTGCATGGATATTTAGAGAAGAGAAACATGTGTCAGTAAAAATAGTAAAATGACCCAGGCTAAAAAAATAATTATTTTGGTCCATATATGGCATATAGGCCTAGTGCCTGATGTTGCGAATTCGCGATAATGTCGTAATAACATAAAAAAATATGTCCAAATTTTAAAATAGCTATAGTTTGATGAGAGAAAATCAGCACAAATAATTTTTTTCACGCTTGGAACATAATCCAGGCATTAGCCTAAGGGGCTAAGTAAATACATACACGAATGGAATAGAAATGAAAGGGAAGCTACTCTAAACAATATTTTCTTAAGATGGCTGCTGTTTTAAATAGCAAATTTACTCTCTCGAATAGGGTTAGATTAGTTTTAAAAATTCTGTGGATTTGCTAGATCTAGTAGGTATTATTTTGTTGTGGGTTTTTTTTTTGTAAAATAATTCTGTGGATTTGCTAGATCTAGAATCTAGACTAGATCAAGATCTAGATCTAGAGTCGATCGAGATTAGTCTCAGATTGTAATGTTGGGTAATCTATCGTTTTGGTAGGGTTGTCGGCATCCGCCGAGTTCGCGGTAAAAACATGACCCGAAATCGCCCATTACTTTCTGATACCGGACCCACGAGATTTGGTTTTGCATACTAATAAGTTTTTAATTTATGGTAATTAATTAAGTTTAAAAGGTCATTTCCTAAGGTTAATTAAAAAGTAGAGTGGTTGTCCCTTAGTTTTAATGGCTTTGCGACCTGATTGCATGCTGTCTCTGCTTTGGTCTTCCCCCTGTATCAAGGTTAGTTTCAAATACGTTGGAATCTCGATTTTTTAAAAGATTCCTCTAGATGAGAGTAGATTACTGATCAGACATATCTTAAGTAATTGGAAATGAAATTTGTTTTTGGATATTTTGACTCCGACATTAGTTATACCCCTCCGAACGTAGTCACTGTATGTAGGTCACGATGCCACCATTGTTATATTTTTTCATCCCGATCTTCCTGCCTTTAAGTTTGATCAACTAATAACAGCAATCTTATGGCATGTGCAAACAAATCTAATTTTTTATTTCAAAATATATTTACATACCCATCTTTAATTTTTTCAGCTCTAGTTCTAGTTTTCTAGAATATGTTTTTCCTAAAAATCCAATTTTGTCAGACTAGACTCTACTCTAGACTGACAAGAGTCAGACCTAGATCTAGGTTACCTGTCTGTTGCTATACACTAACATTGTGCTAACTGTAATTTTAAGTATTCAAGTTCTACTTACCCTTAGATATAGTTATATGCTGAAAATCAGAATCCATACACAATTCACACATAAAAACATTGATCTGATAACTTCATTTCACTTATTACAAAATGGCTTTTATATGGACTCTACTTCACCTGCCCAAAATAACAAGGCAGTTATAGACACATTACAGTGTTCATGTCATTTACTTTAGATTTCTGACTATGGAGTTCTTTCATTCACTGTATTTATATAAAATATTGCTTTAGAAACATTTTCATATTTGCGCAGCAGTTTTATAACAAAATGGCTTAAAGATGGACTCTACTTCACCTGCCCAAAATAATGAGGCAATTATATGCACATAACAGTGTTCAAGTCATTTACTTTAGATTTCTAACTTTGTAGTTCTTTCATTTGCTGTATTTATATAAAATATGGCTTTAGAAACATTTTCATATTTGCGCAGCACACAGTTTTTTGGGGTTATGGGAGGAAGCCAACACAAAAATATAAGTTCTGTATTATTTTTATTAATTTCAACAGCATTTACAAGTTCTATATATCATTCTAGTTAAACTCTGCAAATATGAACAAAATACAACTGCAAGTAAAATAACTATGCTCAATTTATTCAGGTATACCATGACTTGTCACAATTGGCCAATGCAAAAGCAAGGGGATTCCACCCCTCACAAAAAAATTCGCCAAAAAAAAACTATTTGAGCTAGACAGAAAATCTTTTTTGTTTTGTTTTCATATTGTTGAGCTCTACAAGAATATGTAATTTTTATTTTTATATGATGATTAGTGTTTTTTTACCTAAATCCCTAGTTTTGGGTAGGCCCTACGTAAAATCGCCCGCGGCTATTAATGTACGAAAACGTTACCTCATTGTCAAGGCTTTAATAGAGGTATATTGTGATATGTTTGTGTCAAATATTATAGATAAATGGATAATAAACCTAAATCAATGGCTAAATATATCAATATAGGCCAGAAATTAACTTTAAACAGCAGTGTCTGCAGCAAGATTTGCTATATATAATATATAAACAGCAGCCATGTGTAAAATAGAGTGGCTTCCCCCTGAATCTTATAAAAATAAACCTTAAACAAGATGGCTGCTATAGTAAATGAGCATGGTTGCATCTTTTGGAAACATCGCTAGTCTTCAATTATTACGGAAAAGTTTTAATTCAATTGTTTAAAAACAGATACATAAATGAAACAAGGAAACATTTTTGTATTTTAAAAAACATAAATCCTCCTCAAAATGTGAAATAATTATTAAAATTTAAGGAGTCACCTGTTTTTCACATTACAAGTCGCGGGCGATTTTACGTACCTAAAACGATAGATTACCTAATGTTGAGATTATTATATTTAATATATTAATATTATCAGGTAAAACTCCATTTTAGCGTATTTTATTTCTCCGCTGCTTGTTTACCTCCAGTTGAGCGTATTTTATTAGGGTAAAGGAGGGCGTTAAGAGCCACACTTTTTAGCACCTGTACATTTTTAAAGATTTCTACTAATCTAAGAATTTTTTAGTATTGAAAATATGGCAAAATTATTCTAACATATCTTACACAATATAAAAATAATAACAAAGTGTATTAAATATACTTTAAATGGGTTTAATTGAACATTTATTGTCATACCCCCAAAATCAGCATTTGGGGTGAAAGGAGCCGGGCAATGGGGCAATAAGTATTATCTCCTAGTTTAGACTAACTCCGCAATAAAAATAATTAATTTTTAACCCCAAAATAGTTAATGCTGTGTACACACACTTTAACTGATACTAGCTATCACTAGGCCCCAATGGGCCCAGTCTACAATTGATACAATGGCAGGTGTACATAGGGCCTAAGCCCTAAAGTCTACTAGTTTACAGTAGGCACATTAGTATGCCTGTAGCTAGTATACTAGTGTGTAGCTGTCCAGAGTTAACATTCTTGTATGTAAAAAAGGGTGGTACTAACTAATCTGCCTTAATGCTTTCCCCTGATAAGCCATGTGTGCTATACATTACATAACATGACATGGAGGTGAGAAATGTTGAGGGGAAAGCAGTTGTACTGGTTTCCCCTTTGTTCTCCTTGCTGGACCCTGAGGGCCATAAATTACATAAGGAGATGATATCTCTGGTTGGCTGAGATCTAAGAACTAAGTCCATGCTACCTACAAAGAGATAAGTTTTATGCTGGGTTAGATACAGGTGGGGGCTGGGTATCATGGGGGTGAGAAATTGTGAGGGGAGAGCAGTGGTACTGGTTTCCCCTTTTTTCTCCTTGCTGGACCCTGAGGGCCATAAATTACATAAGGAGATGCTATCTCTGGTTGGCTGAGATCTAAGAACTAAGTCCATGCTACCTACAAAGAGATAAGTTTTATGGTGGGTTAGATACAGGTGGGGGCTGGGTATCATGGGGGTGAGAAATTGTGAGGGGAGAGCAGTGGTACTGGTTTCCCCTTTGTTCTCCTTGCTGGACCCTGAGGGCCATAAATTACATAAGGAGATGCTATCTCTGGTTGCCTGAGATCTAAGAACTTAGTCCATGTTACCTACAAAGAGATGAAGTTTTATGGTGGGTTAGATACAGGTGGGGTCTGGGTATCATAGGGGTGAGAAATTGTGAGGGGAGAGCAGTGGTACTGATTCCTCTTTGGTCTCCACCCTGCTAGACCATGAAGGTCTTATATTACATAACATGCCACCCCAGATTGTCTGAGATCTGTAACTGTAATCCTTGTTACCTACAAAGAGATAAAGTTTTATAGTGGGCCAGAAACTGGTGGGGGCTGGGTATCATGGGGGTAAGAAATTGTAAGGGGGGAGCAGTGGTATTAATGTGTCTGTTTACTTCCCTGCTGGACCATGAGGGTCATAAATTACATAACATACCACCCCAGATTGGCTGAGACCTAAGAGCATTTATTCCTGTTACCTACAAAGAGATTAGAAGTTTTATGGTTGATTAGAAACAGGTGGGGGCTGAGTCGGCTGTATTGCCCCTTAGGGGTAATAAGTACATGTACCATTTTAAAATTACCTGGCTAACATCAGATGGCTGAATTTTTACTTTTTAGCAGGTTAGAATTGTATTTCTATCATTTAGACACAAGTCTGTTTAACAATTAATACATTTTGTGTTAACTATTCCTATACAAGTGTCATATTCAGTGGTCTAATAAATGAGAAACTTGCACTTAGGGTTTCAAGAGCCACATAACAGTATCTGTTATAACTTTTCTAAACAGGCAAGCTAGTGGACAAAATTAATGTATTCATGTAGATTTAGTTATTATCTAACAAATAAAACCATTATGGTAATAATCAGTCAAGTTTTACTCTGATAATGATAAAAACTTTATAGCATGGTAAAATGGGACAAATGTCGGCCATTTTGTTTTGGCACCAATAATCACTGTGCAAAAAAAATTCACCAAAATAAAACTATTCTAGCCATAGCTATAAAAATAGTGTTAAAATGTACAACAACCAATGCTCTAATACAGGAACAAAGAATGGGCTTGAAAAACTCATTTGGTTTATTACAAAGTAAAGTTTCCCAAGTTATGTCTATTTGGAAAAAAAGTTCACAAAATGGTTTTATGGAGATGAGAAATTTTAGGGAAAGAGCAGTGGGATTAAATCCTGTCTCATCCTCTCCTTATTGGACCAAATGGGTCATAAATTACATAAAATGAATCCTCTGCTTCTCTGTTATCAAAGAACAGCAGTGGTTGTTACCTCAGAAGTAGATTAGCAGTGTTATTGGGGGTTTTGTGGGGGTGGGGTGTTGATTGGGGCTTAATACCACACGGCTCTTAACGCCCTCCTTTACCCTATAACAACAGAAACACACCAAAACATTAAGAAAACACGATTCATTTATTTGTATTGTATTTTTGTTTTAACAAATTAATAAAAATGAATTAAAAAAACAAAGAGACTGACTTTTTTTTTAGATTTTGATAATTTAGTTTTGTTAAAGTTAAAACTTGAGAAAAATCCAAATTTAGAATATTGAATGTGCAATGTTCGTGTGTCAGAATTTTCATGGCAATGGGTGAAGTACGTAAACGTAACTCACAATTGCAAGGCGGTTAAGTTTGTATTGTTACAAGTATCTCCCAGGCATGATACTATAAATAAACATTAATGAACTTACAATGACCCCAAAACTGAGGCCAACACAATTTCAAATAGCAATTGCCCGAGCTATGACGTATGCTGATAATTATAGTCAATGTGAACTCACGGTGAACCCGCGACCGTGTAAGGATTTTTCTCCCGCTGACGATTACACGAGATTCGATATTTAATTGGAACAGTTCTAATGCTTTTTATTTTTTATGTTTGTTTTTTTACCTTTTCTAATTAAAAATCACATTCATTAAAAAAATTAGTAGATCTAGTGTTTTCCTGACGTTTTTGTGTGTTTCGGTTGTGTTTGTAATAAAATACGCTCAACTGGAGGTGAACGTGAAGCGGGGAATAAAATACGCTAAAATGGAGGTTTACCTATTATCATACATTTTAGGGCTTAGCATTTTTTACAAATGGCTGCTGTAGGGGGGGAGATGGGTCCGTAATTTTGTGACGATGTGTGATGAGGGGGAGGGTGGGGGTTCAGATGTTGCGACGTCACACTTTTGCATTATAAAAAAGCAATGTTAGAAAACGAATTTTAGACGTTATTTCGCGTTTTAGATAACTGTTTTATAACGTCATTTATGGATGACCCTCTAGATGTTAAAAGTATTAGATCTAGTATTACTAATATTTTTAACATCTAGGTTTAAATTTAAAATTTTTTAAATTCTAAATGTTAAAAGTATTAGATCTAGTATTACTAATATTTTTAACTGAACAAGTTGATCAGTCAGGAGTGTTGTATGTTTTTTTTATAGGCCTAATATCTTTCTATATTTAGATTTTTTAAAAATATCCAAGAAATTTGCTAATTTTTAACGTCTTTGCTCTTAAGATCGCCTGCTCATGTTTTCTTGTCAGCGGAAGAAAAATCTTGACATTGTTAGGGGCCTATAGCATACATTATAGCAAGTACATTGATTTTTTTTTAGCTATCAGTAGGCCTATTGCATACATTATTTATAGCAAGTACATTGATTTAGCTATCAGTAGGCCTATAGCATACATTATAGCAAGTACATTGATTTAGCTATCAGTAGGCCTATAGCATACATTATAGCAAGTACATTGATTTAGCTATCAGTAGGCCTATTGCATACATTATTTATAGCAAGTACATTGATTTAACTATCAGTAGGCCTATAGCATACATTATAGCAAGTACATTGATTTAGCTATCAGTAGGCCTATTGCATACATTATTTATAGCAAGTACATTGATTTAACTATCAGTAGGCCTATAGCATACATTATAGCAAGTACATTGATTTAGCTATCAGTAGGCCTATAGCATACATTATAGCAAGTAGGCCTACATTGATTTAGCTATCAAAGGCCTATAGCATACATTATAGCAAGTACATTGATTTAGCTATCAGTAGGCCTATAGCATACATTATAGCAAGTACATTGATTTAGCTATCAGTAGGCCTATAGCATACATTATAGCAAGTACATTGATTTAGCTATCAGTATGCCTATAGCATACATTATAGCAAGTACATTGATTTAGCTATCAGGAGGCCTATAGCATACATTATAGCAAGTACATTGATTTAGCTATCAGTAGGCATATAGCATACATTATAGCAAGTACATTGATTTAGCTATCAGGAGGCCTATAGCATACATTATAGCAAGTACATTGATTTAGCTATCAGTAGGCATATAGCATACATTATAGCAAGTACATTGATTTAGCTATCAGTAGGCATATAGCATACATTATAGCAAGTACATTGATTTAGCTATCAGTAGGCCTATTGCATACATTATTTATAGCAAGTACATTGATTTAGCTATCAGTAGGCCTATAGCATACATTATAGCAAGTACATTGATTTAGCTATCAGTAAGCCTATAGCATACATTATAGCAAGTACATTGATTTAGCTATCAGGAGGCCTATAGCATACATTATAGCAAGTACATTGATTTAGCTATCAGTAGGCCTATAGCATACATTATAGCAAGTACATTGATTTAGCTATCAGTAGGCCTATAGCATACATTATAGAGTCCTTTCATATGACGTCACGTCCTCTCGTGATACCTACGCCCGCCGCCACAGTGGTGTACACCAGACGTAAACACAATCAGCTGTTCGCCAGCGCTGGACGTGTTCACCAGCGCTGGACGTGTTCGGCGTATGTAAAGAATCGCGTCCGCGGAAAAGGAAAAATATGTTAAAAAACTTGAACTCTTAGGAATTGAAGATCCTTATACTGTTATTGACAGTTTCGTAGATAATATAAATATGTGGACAAAATTTCTAAATAAAAATAAATAAAAATACTGTTAGTAATACTGATTGCGTTTAGAGTTAAAGTAGCCGAATCTGATCAAATGCAGTTCTCGATACTTTGTTTCAGGTAAGGACAGTAAAATAATAAACTTCATTTTAATTATAAAAGATAACTATTAATAAAACAAATATGCTCGACCTTCACAAATACTAATAGTAAAAGACAAAGTCAAAAGTAATAATAAGAATAATAAGATCTAATAGTAGGCCTAATACCTGGCTCCGCTGGGTAGATTCTAGAATCTACTTCTTTACTTAAATTTAATTACTTTAGATCTACATTCGATTCAAAATACACCCATAATAAATCAAAAGTAGTCATAATAGGCCTAATAAAGCATTTAATTGTCTCTAAGATCTAAAATCTCGCTCTATTATCTAATCATTTTTTTAGCAAACAAAATTTTCTGAAATTGAAATAGATTGTATGACTAGACTTAGATCTAGAATCTGCTACTTAAATTAAATTGTAAAAGCTTTATACAAGCATGTAGTTGATATTATTGTAGTAGAAGGCTTTAATAAATTACTAAGGCCTACCTACTTTGTTGTCTTTTTACAGCAATATGTATCTGATATTGGACTGAGTTTAATTAAATTCAAATTAAATTCAAATTCATATCTAGTAGGCCTAATTGGTCTACTAAGTTTTTGTAGCCTAGTAGTACAATCTAGATCATACCAGCCAACAACAAATTACCACATTATTATTATTTGGTTAATGATTAGGCTAATTTTTTTTTAAATCCACTGTTTATAAAAGAAACAAATCAAGCTAGAAACATTATAAGTGAGATGGTTTAGAATAATAACAATGGACCCAGTCTACAATTGATACAATTGCAGGTCTACATAGGGCCTACAGTCTAGTAGTTTACAGTAGGCACCTAGTGTGTAGCTAGTATACTAGTGTGTAGCTGTCCAGAGTTAAGATTCTTAATGCCTTAATGCTTTCCCCTGATAAGCCATGTGTGCTATAAATGACATAACATGACATCGAGGTGAGAAATGTTGATGGGAGAGCAGTGGGACTTTCCCCTTTGTTCTCCCTGCTGGGCCCTGAGGGTCAAATTATATAAGAAATACTATCTCTGTGGGGCTGGGTATCACGGAGGTGAGACATTTTCAGGGGAGGGCAGGGCAGACTCCTCTTTGGTTTTATTGTGGGCTAGATACAGGTGGGGGCAGACATCATGAGGGTTGAACGTCAGTATTAATGTGTCTGATTACTTCCCTGCTGGATTATAAGGGTCTTAAATTGTATAGCATGCTACCCAGATTGGTTATTACCCATGGATTATATTAGCCGTTGTAGTGTGGGTTTTGTAGGAGTTAAGTGGTCTCACGTTTGCTACAGTAGATAACCTATAATATATTACTGCATTTGATCAGCTTCGTCTACTTAAACTCCAAACGCAAACGGTATTACTAACAGTATTTTTATTTAGAAATTTCGGCCACATATTTATATTATCCACGAAACTGTCAATAACTGTATAAGGATCTTCAATTCCTAAGAGTTCACGTTTTTTAACATATTTTTCCTTTTCCACGGGCGCGATTCTTTACATACGGTGAATACGTTCAGCGCTGGTGAACACGTCCAGCGCTGGCGAACAGCTGATTGTGTTTACGTCTGATGTACACCACTGTGGCGGCGGGCGTAGGTATCACGTGATTTAGGTCACGTGTTTGCAAGGACTCTATAGCAAGTACATTGATTTAGCTATCAGGAGGCCTATAGCATACATTATAGCAAGTACATTGTGTGCACACTTGTCACCCTTTTTCCATTTTTCCGACATTTCGACAAGTCTAACAAAATTACAACAGTAACTTTTTTCTTAATAAAATTTTTCACAAAACACACTAAAATAAAAGTCTAACCGTTTCCAAATACAAAAAAACATATGCAGTGTATTAAATAGTTATTACACTTTTGCAACTTTTTTTGCAAGTGTCCCATAAGTTATGGGTTAACTTTAGCTGATGTGGTGGCCTAACTACAAGTAGACTTCTCAAAACTGTACATATAAACATGAAATCCCTTCTTAGTTCAAGTTTTCCTTGTATACCAAATAAATAGAGGTTTTATTTACATTATGTTTAACATCAGTTACTGAGAATGTATTTAAGCACTTTCCTGTTGTTTTTTTTAACCTTTAAACAAAATTAATTTTGAGAATAAAAGAGCTCCAATCTCTTTGTGTAGGTTGTGTGCTGAGAGAAATGAGGAAAAAGAAAACTTGCTGCCCTGCCCTGCTGTTTGTGTCCAGTCCAAGTGAGCAGCCTGTTCCTGTGGTGCCACCTGATGGTGTAGGGGACAAACCCATGTCTGTTAAAGCTATCAGCATTGGAGAAGTCTGTCAGCCTTTGTGGGTCAGTACATTTCTCACTAGACACTTTTCCTTTATTAAATGGCCACCAATTATCCCTATTATACCACCATTTTCCCAATAATGTCCCATAGTGCAGAAAAAATGACATCGAAAATGAAGTGACCTGTTGTATTCACCAAAACTTGGTTGTAGAGAGTATTGATTGGGTATTTTCAAGGGTACGTTTGGTGCTAATTGTTGCCTGTGAACACTCCAATGCCTAGTTAGTTTTAAAGAGTGCGTTACACTATGTACATGATTGGCTGTTCTAATTGTTGACTAAATGGAGGCGTATACTCCAGCACCTTGGCTGCAGCTACCTGGGCACTATTGTGTTTACATTCATTTTAAAGAGCACTCTACAATATGGATTGGACATTTGATGATTCAACTGAACCAGGGGTCATTGCTAGCACCCCTGCTGTAGTGTGTTATCGCTGACTTCTGAGAGTCCCTGCAATTTCCTTGACGCCTGGCCATTTGTTGTGGTGTGTTGTAACACACCATTACAGTGAGTAATTGATGTCAATTTACAATTTGTATATAAAATATATACTTTAACTAGTGTCATAGAAAATATAAACATTATATACGTTATTACTTTATTTATATATATATATATATATATATATATATATATATATATATATATGTATATATATATATATATATATATATATATAAGCAAAGTCTGCGATGTTTGTTTGTTACACCTATTAGTATTAGATCGGGTACTAGTGCAGGTACATTGCAGGGTAATTGTTCTTGCCAGATTTTGCTGTTCAATCTCTTTTTACCTGGCACATAGAGTCATTTCAATAATCCTGTTTGAAGTGACCTGAAGCTGATCTAGAGTGACCACGGTCTTATATAAACTATACATTACACGGTCTTATATAAACTATACATTACACGGTCTTATATAAACTATACATTACACGGTCTTATATAAACTATACATTACACGGTCTTATATAAACTATACATTACACGGTCTTATATAAACTATACATTACACGGTCTTATATAAACTATACATTATTTAAAGTGCTTGAATTAAATTGGCCACCTGCAGCTTATACAGCTCAATCATACCTAAACAAAGTGAGGAATTTCAACATTTAATTTATCTAGTTCTTTGATTACACACAAAAACAAAGGATAAAATGTGGATAAAAGAAAAAATGCTTAAAAGTTTTTTACACAATTTTTAGATATAGGGTGAAATTTAAACCGTCTCTAATAACTTATATTTGAGAAGGCCAAATGCAAAACTTGCTAAGTTCATTATTTGAAAAAAACAACTTGTTCTTATAGCAAATTTAGCAATTTAAGTAGTGCACAATTTTTGTTCATAAAGGTATACAGCAATCACCCTTCATGTCATGTACATGTTCCATCATCAGGTAAAATTATATCCGACCTTTATTATCAAACTGACTTCATTTTGTACATTGAGAATGCCTTAATTGAAAAATTTATAAATTCCCAAACACCAAGCATGCAAAGTATATGATGCTTAATGAGCACATAGGTCATGGCTGTTTACAAATAACTTGTACATCAAATGCCGTTGCAAGACTTGGCCAGTACGGCTAGTGTATGTATAAATAAATATATATATATATATATATATATATATATATATATATATATATATATATATATATATATATATATATATAGTGTGTGTGTATATATACAGCCAACCATAATCATTTTTTTTATTGTTAGAAAATTTATTTTCTTGCATTTTTGACATGATGGATGTTTTGTAAAAAGAATACTGTAGCTACAATTGGATTAACTTTTTTCTATAGACACCACCCGACGCTCTTGTATATTCTTTTTCCCTTTGTTTTTAAACCATCGTGACAGCCTAGTCCTCTTTCTTCTACAATCAAACACACAATCTGTTGAAAAGAGGTCGCTGGATATTAAGACAGCTTTTCTTTATAGCGTTGGTTAGGGGCCCACAATCCATTGTGATTTTACAATGTAAAATGTACTTATTGGTGGAACTACTATTCTGTACAGAGGGGTAGCGAGGGCAGGGCGGGGGGTGCGGACCGCACCGGGTAACATCATTTAGGGGGGTGACACCAAGGCATAAAATTGCAAAACGTACAGAAGAAAAATTCCTTTTTACCAGTTCCATTAGTGATCAGTTAAAGTTAAATAGTCTTTTAAGTAAAAATCTACAATTATTACAAGAGGGTGGGGGCGACACCATGACGTAATCGTGCTAACTATAAAGAAAACAATGCTATATCCAACTGTATTATTAACAGACTATATATTAACATCGTTACTATTAAGTCTGGAGTGATTAAAGCTTATACACATACATGTACCCGTATGTGGCACATGTTTAAATTATAGGCCTATGTAGGCCAACACACACACAACACGAAGTGCCGCACCAGGTGACACTAGACCTAGCAACACTACTGATTTTGTACTATCCTGTATTCTACAAATAATCAGAAAGAATATAGATCTAATAACAATAATTTCGGTTGTATGTACATTTACTTATTTTTATTTTGGGGTCATCCATAAATGACGTCACGCTTTTTTTGACGATTTTTACCTCCTCCCCTCCCCTTTGTCACAAAAAGCCAGACCCCCCCCCCCTCCCTATTTTGTAAAAAACAAAGAGATCTACTACAGTAGTGATTTATATAGTAGCTAACACATGTTGTTGTGGAAAAAAAATATATGCATGAGCTGTAGTGTGAAAACACTTCCATGACTTATTTCCCTTTTTTAAATAGTTAAATAGGGGTGCTCATAAGCTCCTTTTAATAGATTTGTACTAACAAATTAAAAAGCAATTATAATTTTAGAAAAATAGCATTTAAAGGAAAAGTATCTAAAATTAATAATATAAATAAAAAAAAATATAAAAATAAACATAACATGAGAAACCATTACACATAGATCTACACAGCTTTCACATTTTATTTTATTTTGACTGGCTGAGGATTGGAAGTGTTACGGCAAACATAAAATGAAGCGGAGATTTTCAAAACAGACTAATGCACTCACACACACGACATGTTGTTGTAAATTGTTTAAATTAAAAAAATACAAAGACATTTTTTTGTCAAAACCAGATCAGGCCAGAAATGATTATCCTATGTCAGGGGTCGGCAACCTTTTTGGACGGAAGAGCCAAAAGTTATAATTTACCATATATCCCAGTTTACAAAGAGCCACTAACACTTTTATTTTAGGATTATGATATTTTATATTATGATTTATATATATATATATATATATATATATATATATATATATATATATATATATATATATATATATATATATATATATATATATATAGCTTTAAATATAAAATAATATTTATTCAAATTAAAACATAAACTAAACATAGAATAATAAAATCAGTAATTAAATTATATATCTATAATTAGTGAATACTATTTACAACAGTTTCGCCTTGCATGCCTTTTGAAAGTTTGTTTAAACCTGGCTCATAACTTGTTTTCAGTTTCAAGCACGCCTATAGATTTTTATTAGTTGGCTTTTATACTTGGTATTATATTAATGCAAGAAAACTCTTGCTCGCATGAATATGTTGACCCAAAGATCGTCAGCACTCCAAATCAGCCAAATTCTTCACCTCACCGTAGCATCTTCCAAGACTATTCCATGCGTCACATAATAGGGCCTCAACTCGCGGCATTTTTTTAGAGCTGTCCAGTTGTACAGTGAAACGTTCATGTTTTACTGGACCTCCAAATCATCTAACTTGCTCTTGAGATCAGTAAATTTACCGCTCCACAAATGTTTGGTTTTCAAATCTTAATTTGAAGCGAACCAGCATCAATTCCGAATAGCTTAACGTTGATCTCATTTGTTTTTGTGTTGAGAGAATCTACTTTGACTATGAACTTTGATTTGCTCAAATCTCTCAGTGAACCCATCCTTCATTTTGTTTATAGTAATGCTGAAGTGATTCATGTTAATAGTAGCGTTGGTTTTATCATGATATTTTTTTCAGATTTTTCAAAATAATTTACCGTGCTCCGGGTTTTCAACAAAATGAAGTAATTTTTTTTCGAAACAATCATATTCTTCAAGCAAGGCATAGGCTGGGTTTTCCTTTCCATGCAGTTTTTTAGATTTAGCTCGTTTAGTTTCTTTTTGATCTCCACCATGAAGTTGAATGTTGCAGTTTGAGATAGACAAGTTAAAAGGAAGTACATAGAAATAGGACGTAACTAAATATTTTAATAGAATAGCGAGTGTTTATTGTTTATGTTTATTATTTTATTGTTCATTACCGAGTGTTGCAGAACAATATTTTTATGAGTTTTGAAAATAAAAATAAACAAATATTAATATTTGTGCACGGAGCTGAAGAGCCACATCTTGACATTAAAAGAGCCGCGGGGTGGCCCTTTTTTTCTACTTCTGCCACTGCTTGATCTCCATAGTGTAATACACCTAAAGTGTTTATTATCTAAATTAATGATTAAAAAATTTCCCAAACGTATAATTTTAATTTAAGTCATGTGGAAATAACAAAAGTCAAAGAATATATATCATCCTTCACAACAATTTTAACAGTTTACAGATTACTTCACTTTGTTTGATCACTAAGTTTTTTTTTTACTTCCCTTTAAGAAAAACATTACATCAGTGGAAAAAATACATTTTATTTGTTTGTTTTGGTGTTGGAAAAAAAAATTATATAATTTGCAGGGATTGATAAAATGCAATTTGGTAGGTAAAACATGGATGTTTTAAATATTGCCTTTTTAAAATTTTTATAGACTGAACGTACTGTTTACTAATTATTATTTTAATCAATAACAGTTTAGAAGATGCTCCTAAATGTCTGCTATGTTTATTTCTATCTTTCTGTTTGCTTGGGGTATTATAGTCGTTCACTAAATTAAATCAGACGTGTTCGCTGGCGCCCTGGGCTATCCTGTGAGCCCTATGGTGCAATCGCTCGTTTTTACAAATTCGATAGGCTGTGAATAAACATTGTTACTATAGTCATACACTAAATCGAATACAGGGGGACCTCTGGTGCACCATCAAGGTGCGATTTGGCACCCCGGGCCTTCCCGTGAGCGCTATGGCACTTAAGTTCGTTTTAAACAGTGCAATAGACTATGGATAAGAAGGGTTACTACAGTCCTTAACTAAATTGTTACCGGGCATCCTTTGGCATCCCGACAGGGGGCTATGTTGCCCCCCAGGTTTTCCCATGATGTTCAGTTATAACTGTGTGATAGCTTATGGATAAAATGGGGTATTTTAGTCGTTTACTAAGTTGAATCAGGTGGTTCCGCTGGTGCCCTTGCAGGGGTGCGGTTAATTAGAAAAGTATTATATTTCCTAAACCCAGGTAAAGCAGGGTAAATGCTGCTTAAAAAACATGGAAGTCATGTTCCTTTACATCTAGGTTTTTCTCAGAGCCCAGTGCAGGGCGGTTAGTATATGTATATGTGTATATATATATATATATACAAATACACATACAAGTATATATATATGTACACCTACACATATACAGTTACATACACACATCTATACATACACATATATATATACATACATACATGTATATGTATACATGTATAGACATGTATACATTTATAGACATATTTATAGAGTGATTAGGCTGTGGATAAAAGTTTGACCATAGTTCACAAAATCAACTTCAGGGCAACCCCTGGTGCCCCAGCAGGTTTTTAACAGATGCCAGTGCGGGCCTGGCCGTGGGTGATGGCTATATATATATATATATGTGTGTATATATATATGTATGTCTATAAGTATTTATATATATATATGTATATATATACGTGTGTGTATATATATACACACATATATACATCAAATACACATGTGTCCATACATATATATAAAAAGAGATTGATGGATACATGAAAAGATTTTTTCTATTTTAGGTATCTCCACAGTTTTCTGGAGAAGGTGGCTTGGGTGAAATCTTGACTTCCAGTCATGAAAACAAGTCAAGGAATGAAGGTTTGAAGAATTGGAGGTTTAAACCTCTCAAGTTTCTAACACTTGCCCCACGTGGCTTGATACATCCCACACAAACTCAGCAGACCACTGGTGTGGCTGGCCAATGGCTAGACATTGCCACCCCATCTTTGTGGTGTGCAAACACCAGTCATGGTGATACACCACCAAACACCAGCCATGGTGAGACACCACCAAACACCAGCCATGGTGAGACACCACCAAACACCAGCCATGGTGAGACACCAACAAACACCAGTCATGGTGAGACACCACCAAACACCAGTCCTGGTGAGATTACACCAACAAAATCATCTGGCTTGCCAAAGATTTTGGTGGCTGACACCCCCGAGCTAGACTATGGGTTAAAAATGAGAGAAAGACAATTAAAATATAAGGATGGGAGCTGATACAAAGACAATTAAAATATAAGGATGGGAGCTGATACAAAGACATTTAAAATATAAGGATGGGAGCTGATACAAAGACATTTAAAATATAAGGATGGGAGCTGATACAAAGACATTTAAAATATAAGGATGGGAGCTGATATAAAGACATTTAAAATATAAGGATGGGAGCTGATACAAAGACATTTAAAATATAAGGATGGGAGCTGATACAAAGACATTTAAAATATAAGGATGGGAGCTGATATAAAGACATTTAAAATATAAGGATGGGAGCTGATACAAAGACATTTAAAATATAAGGATGGGAGCTGATACAAAGACATTTAAAATATAAGGATGGGAGCTGATATAAAGACATTTAAAATATAAGGATGGGAGCTGATACAAAGACATTTAAAATATAAGGATGGGAGCTGATATAAAGACATTTAAAATATAAGGATGGGAGCTGATACAAAGACATTTAAAATATAAGGATGGGAGCTGATACAAAGACATTTAAAATATAAGGATGGGAGCTGATATAAAGACATTTAAAATATAAGGATGGGAGCTGATACAAAGACATTTAAAATATAAGGATGGGAGCTGATACAAAGACATTTAAAATATAAGGATGGGAGCTGATACAAAGACATTTAAAATATAAGGATGGGAGCTGATACAAAGACATTTAAAATATAAGGATGGGAGCTGATATAAAGACATTTAAAATATAAGGATGGGAGCTGATATAAAGACATTTAAAATATAAGGATGGGAGCTGATATAAAGACAATTAAAATATAAGGATGGGAGCTGATACAAAGACATTTAAAATATAAGGATGGGAGCTGATACAAAGACATTTAAAATATAAGGATGGGAGCTGATACAAAGACATTTAAAATATAAGGATGGGAGCTGATACAAAGATCTTGTTGAGCCAAGCTGGGATCATCATAATTAACACAAAACAATTTTTTGGAAATTAACAAAAAAGTTAATAGTTAAAAAGTTGTAAAATTATTTATTGAAAAATATTGTACATAAAGTATCCAAAACAAAAGTGCACATGAAAACATTTTCTTGGGCCTATGTGCTAGATCCTATAATCTGAGCATTGAACACTGAACTAATCTAAACATCTTCCTTCAAAGTTTCTCTCTGTAGACTTGTTCAACATGGAAGCTTGATGGCAATGAGATCAGCTGTTATTTCTGCTCCTCCAACAGGATTTGGCTGTCATGCTAGTTGAGTTCCATCAATCTAATACTCATGGCCTCTCAACTTGGCGCTCATTAGTAGAAAATATCACAAGTATTGATAGATAACAAATAAATAACAGCAGATGACCTAATGATGTTACAAAAGATGATTTTACAAAAAACTTGGTTTTAAAAACAAATATATTTAAAAGTGTGTGCTAAACAAAATGAAAATTCAATTGTCCTTTTTATTGTAAATTCCATTAGTGTGATGCCCATTAAGATGCCCATTGGTTTTGGGACCTTTCTCCCCTCTGGTCTGAAATTATAGAAAAACATTTATAAGAAACAGAGAACATTTCTACAGGTAGTTGTCACTTGTAAGTCTGGGTAGTTAGTTGGGTAACTCTAGGTAGGTAATTGGGTAACTCTGGGTAGTTAAATGTGTAAGTTTGTGACACGCAAGTCTGGGTAGGTGATGGTTGTATCATATTTGTAATTAAAAAACTGACCTTGGTTCTTCCTGTCTTGATGTAAGCGTGTACATAAAAGTTAAGGAAGAGAAGGAGAATGGTAAAAGCATAAATGATGAGAGCCCAATGCATCCATTCAGGAAAACCACAGTGAGCTATGAAGAGGGACTGACAGGCGTGAAGTATTCCCGCCACAAACTGTACCTATGATGGAAGACAAAACAAAAGATTACCTTGGCCGGCTGAGACAAGTGGTCCTGTCTGTGCGATGGTTTCATGTAGGCCTGCACATAAAAGTTGATGAAAAGACTGACGATACTAATGCCGTATAGGATGCCAGCCCACTCCATCCACAGGGGGTAATCACATTGGATGTAAATAGAATGGCTGCAGTAGATCAGACCCACAAAAAACTGAAGCTATGGAGAAAAGAGAAGGTGTGGCTCTCATCAGCACAACATGACAGCCTGACTGTACAAGTTAAGACAGCCTGACTATACAAGTTAAGACAGTCTACAAGCTAAGACAGCCTGACTATACAAGCTAAGACAGTCTACAAGTTAAGACAGCCTGACTGTACAAGCTAAGACAGCCTGACTATACAAGCTAAGACAGTCTACAAGCTAAGACAGCCTACAAGCTAAGACAGCCTGACTATAAATACAAGTTAAGACAGCCTGACTATACAAGCTAAGACAGCCTGACTATACAAGTTAAGACAGCCTACAAGCTAAGACAGCCTCACTATACAAGCTAAGACAGCCTACAAGCTAAGACAGCCTGACTATACAAGTTAAGACAGTCTACAAGCTAAGACAGCCTGACTATACAAGCTAAGACAGCCTACAAGCTAAGACAGCCTCACTATACAAGCTAAGACAGCCTACAAGCTAAGACAGCCTGACTATACAAGTTAAGACAGCCTACAAGCTAAGACAGCTTGACTATACAAGCTAAGACAGCCTGACTATACAAGCTAAGACAGTCTACAAGCTAAGACAGCCTACAAGCTAAGACAGCCTGACTATACAAGTTAAGACAGCCTGACTATACAAGCTAAGACAGCCTGACTATACAAGTTAAGACAGCTTGACTATACAAGTTAAGACAGCCTACAAGTTAAGACAGCCTGACTGTACAAGCTAAGACAGCCTGACTATACAAGCTAAGACAGCCTACAAGCTAAGACAGCCTGACTATACAAGCTAAGACAGCCTGACTGTACAACTAAGACAGCCTGACTATACAAGCTAAGACAGCCTACAAGCTAAGACAGCCTGACTATACAAGTTAAGACAGCCTACAAGCTAAGACAGCCTGACTATACAAGTTAAGACAGCCTGACTATACAAGTTAAGACAGCCTGACTATACAAGCTAAGACAGCTTGACTGTACAACTAAGACAGCCTGACTATACAAGTTAAGACAGCCTGACTATACAAGCTAAGACAGCTTGACTGTACAACTAAGACAGCCTGACTATACAAGTTAAGACAGCCTGACTATACAAGCTAAGACAGCTTGACTGTACAACTAAGACAGCCTGACTATACAAGTTAAGACAGCCTACAAGCTAAGACAGCCTGACTATACAAGCTAAGACAGCTTGACTGTACAACTAAGACAGCCTGACTATACAAGTTAAGACAGCCTGACTATACAAGCTAAGACAGCTTGACTGTACAACTAAGACAGCCTACAAGCTAAGACAGCCTAACTATACAAGTTAAGACAGCCTGACTATACAAGTTAAGACAGCCTGACTATACAAGCTAAGACAGCCTGACTGTACAAGCTAAGACAGCCTGACTGTACAACTAAGACAGCCTGACTGTACAACTAAGACAGCCTGACTATACAAGTTAAGACAGTCTACAAGCTAAGACAGCCTACAAGCTAAGACAGCCTGACTATACAAGTTAAGACAGCCTACAAGCTAAGACAGCCTGACTATACAAGTTAAGACAGCCTGACTATACAAGCTAAGACAGCCTAACTATACAAGCTAAGACAGCCTCACTATACAAGTTAAGACAGCCTACAAGCTAAGACAGCCTGACTATACAAGCTAAGACAGCTTGACTATACAAGTTAAGACAGCCTGACTATACAAGCTAAGACAGCCTAACTATACAAGCTAAGACAGCTTGACTATACAAGTTAAGACAGCCTAACTATACAAGCTAAGACAGCCTAACTATACAAGCTAAGACAGCTTGACTGTACAACTAAGACAGCCTGACTATACAAGCTAAGACAGCCTAACTATACAAGCTAAGACAACTTGACTGTACAACTAAGACAGCCTGACTATACAAGTAAAGACAGCCTGACTATACAAGCTAAGACAGCCTGACTGTACAAGTTAAGACAGCCTGACTATACAAGCTAAGACAGCCTAACTATACAAGCTAAGACAGCTTGACTGTACAACTAAGACAGCCTGACTATACAAGCTAAGACAGCCTAACTATACAAGCTAAGACAGCTTGACTGTACAACTAAGACAGCCTGACTATACAAGCTAAGACAGCCTAACTATACAAGCTAAGACAGCTTGACTGTACAACTAAGACAGCCTGACTATACAAGTTAAGACAACCTGACTATACAAGTTAAGACAGCCTGACTATACAAGCTAAGACAGCCTACAAGTTAAGACAGCCTGACTATACAAGCTAAGACAGCTTGACTATACAAGTTAAGACAGCTTGACTATACAAGTTAAGACAGCCTGACTATACAAGTTAAGACAACCTGACTATACAAGTTAAGACAGCCTGACTATACAAGTTAAGACAGCCTGACTATACAAGCTAAGACAGCCTGACTATACAAGCTAAGACAGCTTGACTATACAAGCTAAGACAGCCTACAAGCTAAGACAGCCTACAAGCTAAGACAGCCTACAAGCTAAGACAGCCTGACTATACAAGTTAAGACAGCCTGACTATACAAGCTAAGACAGCTTGACTGTACAACTAAGACTATAGAAGAAGCTCTTATGTTATGCAATAGAAGAGTTTTTACTTGTACAAAAATAATTTCCAACAGAAGAAACATTTATTTACATCCTACGTAGAATGGATTGAAATCAACAAGCCAAATATATTAGTTGTAAATGAAAAATTTTAAGATAAATAACCAATTCAGATGTAAAAAATAATCAAATTTGTTAAAAACAAAATAATATAATTAGTAGAAGCTGACAAATATTTTTTAAATTAGAAAAGTCAGTTCAAAATGAAATTGTAAAAACTCAATTTTGTAGTCAAGTACCCTGCTGATTTCTAATGGCTGGCTTCAAGAACTAAAAATTTGATTATAAGTAAGTGATTAAGTTTTGTCAAACATTAAGCAAATGCTAATTAATTGGTTATCAATCTTCAGATTAGAATGTAAAAAGTTTAGCCTCTTTAAGTAGCATACACAAAGAATTTTTCTGATCCGAAGACAATAGAGCTGGAGCTGGACATTGGATAGTTTTTAAATTATTTGCTTTCTATGTGCAGGCCTCACAAACCATCTGCTACTTGGTACACAACTGACCAACCAATGTAAATAAAGAGATGACTGGGTGTGTACACAACTGACCAACCAATGTAAATAAAAAGATGACTGGGTGTGTACACAACTAACCAACCCATGTAAATAAAGAGATGACTGGGTGTGTACACAACTGACCAACCCATGTAAATAAAGAGCTGACTGGATGTGTACACAACTGACCAACCCATGTAAATAAAGAGCTGACTGGGTGTGTACACAACTGACCAACCCATGTAAAGAGATGACTGGGTGTGTACACAACTGACCAACCCATGTAAATAAAGAGATGACTGGGTGTGTACACAACTGACCAACCCATGTAAATAAAGAGCTGACTGGGTGTGTACACAACTGACCAACCCATGTAAATAAAGAGCTGACTGGATGTGTACACAACTGACCAACCCATGTAAAGAGATGACTGGGTGTGTACACAACTGACCAACCCATGTAAATAAAGAGCTGACTGGGTGTGTACACAACTGACCAACCCATGTAAATAAAGAGATGACTGGGTGTGTACACAACTGACCAACCCATGTAAAGAGATGACTGGGTGTGTACACAACTGACCAACCCATGTAAATAAAGAGCTGACTGGATGTGTACACAACTGACCAACCCATGTAAATAAAGAGCTGACTGGGTGTGTACACAACTGACCAACCCATGTAAATAAAGAGATGACTGGGTGTGTACACAACTGACCAACCCATGTAAAGAGATGACTGGGTGTGTACACAACTGACCAACCCATGTAAATAAAGAGCTGATGGGGTGTGTATACAACTGACCAACCCATGTAAATAAAGAGATGACTGGGTGTGTACACAACTGACCAACCCATGTAAAGAGATGACTGGGTGTGTACACAACTGACCAACCCATGTAAATAAAGAGCTGACTGGATGTGTACACAACTGACCAACCCATGTAAATAAAGAGATGACTGGATGTGTACACAACTGACCAACCCATGTAAATAAAGAGCTGACTGGGTGTGTACACAACTGACCAACCCATGTAAAGAGATGACTGGGTGTGTACACAACTGACCAACCCATGTAAATAAAGAGATGACTGGGTGTGTACACAACTGACCAACCCATGTAAATAAAGAGCTGATGGGGTGTGTACACAACTGACCAACCCATGTAAATAAAGAGCTAACTGGATGTGTACACAACTGACCAACCCATGTAAATAAAGAGATGAATGGATGTGTACACAACTGACCAACCCATGTAAATAAAGAGCTAACTGGATGTGTACACAACTGACCAACCCATGTAAAGAGATGACTGGGTGTGTACACAACTGACCAACCCATGTAAATAAAGAGATGACTGGGTGTGTACACAACTGACCAACCCATGTAAATAAAGAGCTGATGGGGTGTGTACACAACTGACCAACCCATGTAAATAAAGAGCTAACTGGATGTGTACACAACTGACCAACCCATGTAAAGAGATGACTGGGTGTGTACACAACTGACCAACCCATGTAAATAAAGAGATGACTGGGTGTGTACACAACTGACCAACCCATGTAAATAAAGAGCTGACTGGATGTGTACACAACTGACCAACCCATGTAAATAAAGAGCTGACTGGGTGTGTACACAACTGACCAACCCATGTAAATAAAGAGCTGATGGGGTGTGTACACAACTGACCAACCCATGTAAATAAAGAGCTGATGGGGTGTGTACACAACTGACCAACCCATGTAAATAAAGAGCTGACTGGATGTGTACACAACTGACCAACCCATGTAAATAAAGAGCTGACTGGGTGTGTACACAACTGACCAACCCATGTAAAGAGCTGACTGGGTGTGTACACAACTGACCAACCCATGTAAAGAGATGACTGGGTGTGTACACAACTGACCAACCCATGTAAAGAGATGACTGGGTGTGTACACAACTGACCAACCCATGTAAATAAAGAGCTGATGGGGTGTGTACACAACTGACCAACCCATGTAAATAAAGAGCTGACTGGGTGTGTACACAACTGACCAACCCATGTAAATAAAGAGCTGATGGGGTGTGTACACAACTGACCAACCCATGTAAATAAAGAGCTGACTGGATGTGTACACAACTGACCAACCCATGTAAATAAAGAGCTGATGGGGTGTGTACACAACTGACCAACCCATGTAAAGAGATGACTGGGTGTGTACACAACTGACCAACCCATGTAAAGAGATGACTGGGTGTGTACACAACTGACCAACCCATGTAAATAAAGAGCTGATGGGGTGTGTACACAACTGACCAACCCATGTAAATAAAGAGCTGACTGGATGTGTACACAACTGACCAACCCATGTAAATAAAGAGCTGATGGGGTGTGTACACAACTGACCAACCCATGTAAATAAAGAGCTGACTGGGTGTGTACACAACTGACCAACCCATGTAAATAAAGAGCTGATGGGGTGTGTACACAACTGACCAACCCATGTAAATAAAGAGCTGACTGGATGTGTACACAACTGACCAACCCATGTAAATAAAGAGCTGATGGGGTGTGTACACAACTGACCAACCCATGTAAATAAAGAGCTGACTGGATGTGTACACAACTGACCAACCCATGTAAAGAGCTGATGGGGTGTGTACACAACTGACCAACCCATGTAAATAAAGAGCTGACTGGATGTGTACACAACTGACCAACCCATGTAAATAAAGAGCTGATGGGGTGTGTACACAACTGACCAACCCATGTAAATAAAGAGATGACTGGGTGTGTACACAACTGACCAACCCATGTAAATAAAGAGATGACTGGGTGTGTACACAACTGACCAACCCATGTAAATAAAGAGTTGACTGGGTGTGTACACAACTGACCAACCCATGTAAAGAGCTGACTGGGTGTGTACACAACTGACCAACCCATGTAAAGAGCTGACATGTCAAAATGAGCCTTGGACACTAAAGGGAATAGAGGCTGCTAGAGATAACTGTTCTGCCCAGTGTCTTGAGCTGCTCTGTCTACAGAGATGTACTCACCAGTTGCAGGCGTGTCAGGTACCGCTTCCACCACAAATATTTCTGAAACTCTGGTCCCAGAGCTGCTACCCCATAGTAGGTGTACATGATTACATGGATGAAAGAGTTAATCATAGCTCCAAAAAATGCTGAAATACAAGTGTAGAAAGTGTACATGATTACATGGATGAAAGAGTTAATCATAGCTCCAAAAAACGCTGAAATACAAGTGTAGAAAGTGTACATGATTACATGGATGAAAGAGTTAATCATAGCTCCAAAAAATGCTGAAATACAAGTGTAGAAAGTGTACATGATTACATGGATGAAAGAGTTAATCATAGCTCCAAAAAACGCTGAAATACAAGTGTAGAAAGTGTACATGATTACATGGATGAAAGAGTTAATCATAGCTCCAAAAAATGCTGAAATACAAGTGTAGAAAGTGTACATGATTACATGGATGAAAGAGTTAATCATAGCTCCAAAAAATGCTGAAATACAAGTGTAGAAAGTGTACATGATTACATGGATGAAAGAGTTAATCATAGCTCCAAAAAATGCTGAAATACAAGTGTAGAAAGTGTACATGATTACATGGATGAAAGAGTTAATCATAGCTCCAAAAAATGCTGAAATACAAGTGTAGAAAGTGTACATGATTACATGGATGAAAGAGTTAATCATAGCTCCAAAAAATGCTGAAATACAAGTGTAGAAAGTGTACATGATTACATGGATGAAAGAGTTAATCATAGCTCCAAAAAATGCTGAAATACAAGTGTAGAAAGTGTACATGATTACATGGATGAAAGAGTTGATCATAGCTTCAAATAAGCCGCGAGTAATCTCTCCAAAACTTTCTTGTATATTCTTAAATAAAAATGATGTTGGACGTGACACTGCCAACATAAGGGTTGGACATCAAATGCGGCTCTGAATGGGGTCAAATAGATGACACTTTACAGTTACATGAAAGTAGGTCCTTCCATTACAGTTACATGAAAGTAGGTCCTTCCATTACAGTTACATGAAAGTAGGTCCTTCCATTACAGTTACATGAAAGTAGGTGCTTCCATTAGAGTTACATGAAAGTAGGTGCTTCCATTAGAGTTACATGAAAGTAGGTCCTTTTATTACAGTTACATGAAAGTAGGTCCTTCCATTAGAGTTACATGAAAGTAGGTCCTTCCATTAGAGTTACATGAAAGTAGGTGCTTCCTCCCCCCCCCCCCCCCATCATTCTGTATACTATAAATTAGGGAGGTGCAAAATAGCAAAAACTGTTGAAATACAATACTTCTTCCATAGATACAACAGATACTACTGACCAATAGATACAACTGACCAACATATACCACTGACCAACAGATACTTACACTGCCCTCCGGCCACCCACTTGACGCCAATATACCAGATGGGGAACATGGTTGCATGATGGTAGACGTGGAGGAAGCTGACTTGGTTGTTTTTTTTTCTCAGAATGAAAAAAATGGTGTCCAGCATCTCAATGCACTTAGAGAAATAGAACCACCACAGCGCTTTAGCTATCTGAAATAGAGAAATAGAACCACAACTAACTTCTAAGATGTCCAGACGAAATACCCTCAGTGACAAAAACACATATGTGAAATAACCCCTCCCCATGAGAAAAACAAAATATGGGCACATATCTCAGGCACGTGTATTATGTAGCCTAGAGTCAAAATGCATATCTAAAAACAAGTTAATAAAAAGTCTAGTGGCAATTAAAGCGCAATTTCCTCATGTTATCCATAACAATTTTAAATCGAGATAAATCATATATTCAGCAAATAAATAATGCAACACAAGTAGTTTTAATAATTCAAATCAAAATAGAAAAAATATTTATTAACGAGAGTTTTAAAAATGTGTGGACGTGTAGGGGGTATTTAGTTGTCGCGCTCTCTATATTGCTATATAGTACTGTAGTGTATTATGTATAATGTAATTTTTAAAAAAATTTTGTGACCGAACGAAAGGATATTTTTGAAAACTTTCTTCGGCAATATTGTTCTAAATTATGGCAGGAATCGATTGGTAAATGTTTCAAGTCGCTAAGTGGTCTGGTTGCCGAGATATGGGCCAAAAAATGCATTTTTTCGAGGTTTTTTGGCTTTTCCGGGAAATCCATGAAAGAAACCCGGAATTTTTTTGGCCCACTATCATCCTGGTAACTTGCTTAACATAATTGCTTTTGGAACTAGTCCTCGATATTGCTTCGTTGAGGAGGAGATACGACTTAAAGCTGCGGACACATCCAGAAATGACAAATTAATAATCGCAATTCCAGTATGGAAATTGCGCTAAAAAAACAAAAGAATCATGTCCATGAGCCATGAGACTTACTCTCATTTCATGTGGGTCATGTGTGTAGGTGACACTCTCTCTCATTTCATGTGGGTCATGTGTGTAGGTGGCACTCACATTTCATGTGGGTCATGTGGGGGTCATGTGTGTAGGTGAGACTTACTCTCATTTCATGGGGGTCATGTGGATAGGTGAGACTTACTCTCATTTCATGGGGGTCATGTGGGTAGGTGAGACTTACTCTCATTTCATGTGTGTAGGTGACACTCTCATTTCATGTGGGTCATGTGGGGGTCATGTGTGTAGGTGGCACTCTCATTTCATGGGGGTCATGTGGGGGTCATGTGTGTAGGTGAGACTTACTCTCATTTCATGGGGGTCATGTGTGTAGGTGACACTCTCATTTCATGTGGGTCATGTGGGTAGGTGAGACTTACTCTCATTTCATGTGGGTCATGTGGGTAGGTGAGACTTACTCTCATTTCATGTGGGTCATGTGTGTAGGTGACACTCTCATTTCATGTGGGTCATGTGGGGGTCATGTGGGTAGGTGAGACTTACTCTCATTTCATGTGTGTAGGTGAGACTTACTCTCATTTCATGTGGGTCCTGTGTGTAACTGACTGGCTGACAGGAGTAACTGTAGCCCAGGGCTGTAGAACACAGAAGCAGCTGGAGAGAAAAACAAAACATTTCAAGGGAAATAATCTTAGTTTACTAGTTTATTAAGGGCAATAATTGTAGTTTATTAGTCTTTAGTCTTATTATGGGAAATAATGAGTAAGTAAAATATTAAGTAAGTTGGTGACACAACTGCTTAACCCTTTGAGCCTGCCAGGCCGGTAAACCGGCTTCAACATTAGGCATAAATGTCAGAAAAGCCCGTTTTTCGGCCCGATGATCTAGCGTCATATTCCTATTAGCCGGTATACCGTCTAATTAAATATAATTAGCGGAAGACTGACTAAAACTGCGCATATGTCTTTTGAGTGAGGGATTATGATTTTAAAAATTGATTTTTAGGAAAAGTGAAAGTGTTTACATTTCGTAGCAATGCCGCCGAAACGAAAAGCTGAGCCACAGCCGTCGACTTCATCACATAAAGTTGGTGCAAAAGATGAAGCAAAAGACCGAAATATCAACAAAAGAAGTAGAATGACTGCATCTCAGGCAATACAACTACTTATTGATTCTGATGAAGAAGATAATATTCCTGGTCTATATTGTGATGATAGTGACGTTGAATTTGAGACTGAACACAGTGACATTGAAATAGACAGTGACAATGAAACTGTTCAAGTACGTTCTGATGCGTGTGGTGTCAAAGACTTGCCAAAACGAAAAAAAAAAAATGTTTACTGGTACAAAACATGCGAAGTTTTTCTTTGCATCGGGTCCGGCAGTGATAACTGTTTTGAAAGTTATGACACAAATGTGGACCTCTGGCGTTGAACTAGTATAGCCAGGTCTCAATAATAACAAAACAATCACTTAATGTAAATTGGTTTCTTCTATAGTCTATCAAAACAATAATTATGTGTTCGTTTTATATACATTGTTCTGTTCATACATTGTAAAAAATAAAGAATTTTAGAATCTTGCTGCATTGTTGATTGATCCTGAGTCTGGATACCAAATTTGGCTTGATTATCTCCAACGGTTCAAAAGTTATAGGCAAAGTAAGAAGCAGATAAGTGAAAATTGGTTTGACCCTGGGAGCTCAGGAAATGGGAGAAATTAGGTCAGGGAGGCCAGGGCTCAAAGGGTTAATTAAAAAAAAAATACATGTGAAAATACCTAAGAAAAAGCTGCCTTATACTAATATGATGTAAAAATATTCAAATTATTAAGTTTTTTTATAGAGAAATTATAAAAGTAAAGTACAACTTCCAGTTCTTAATTGTGAAATGTAGGCGAAATATTAGGAGTGAAATTTCATCCAGATTAAACTTCACACTTAGATCGCATTACTCACACCTAGTTGCTTTAATATGAATTTTATATTTTAATAAGATCTTTTACTTTAATGTTTTTTTTTTTAATTCAGTATAATGACATTTGTCTCAATTATAGACCTAATTATTTTATATTTTAAAACGTTTTACAATGTTATTTATTTTGCTTTTGCATTTTTATGTAATTCTTATTTGCCTTTTGGTATTTATATACACACAATTCAAGTTAGACAAATTATTAATCTATAATGTTGGTATCTTGATTATCAATTATGTCATTATCAATGTGTACCCTTTTCATTCTTTGTATGTACTTTTCCGGAGTTTCAAGTTTATAAGTTTCATTTGAAGTCACGGGAGTTTCAAGTTTATAAGAGAGATAAGATGATAGATTAGATAGATAGATAGATTAGATAGATAGATTAGATAGATAGATTAGATAGATAGATAGATAGGTAGGTAGGTAGGTAGGTAGGTAGGTAGGTAGGTAGGTAGGTAGGTAGGTAGGTAGGTAGATAGATAGATAGATAGATAGACAGACAGGATAGTAGAATCTAATATATAAAGCTCAATTCTGTATGTAATAAGTTTGTCGTTGACATACTTGGATGGATTTAAGTGTTAGATAATTAAAGTCCTTATGGTCTAAATTTATGAGTTAAAAAATTAATATTGAAAGTTTTGGGAAATAATTTTCATTTATCAAACTGAAAGTAATAATTTTCGGCATGTTCACTAAACACAAGTTTTAAAAAAATATCATCTTTTACAAATATTCTAATTATGTCTTTATTTAGTCCTATAGCACTTACTTCCTTTTGATAAATTAGGAAAACACAATTACTTCCCTTTATAAAACCATTGCATTAGTGGAAAAGAATTTACTTTTTATTACTTTGTTTTGGTGTTGGGAAAAAAAATAACTACATAATTAGCGGGGATTGATCAAGTGCAAATGTTGTAGGTATTTTACGGATAAGCTGGGAGTATTATAATTGTTCATTAAATTGAAACAGGCGCGTTCGTTTAAGTGAGTGCAAAAGACTATGAATAAGTTGGGGTACTATAGTCGTTTATTAAGCTAAAACAGGCGATTCCGCCCCGGGCTAGACTGTGAGCAATTTGCGTTTATGTTAGCGTTAGTGTTTTCTTTGTGTTTAGGTTGGGTTTGCGTTAGTGGTTGCGGTTTGATTTGGTTAGTTTTTGTTCTTTCTTTTTTCGTTTTTGTTTGTTTTTTTCTTTGGGTTTGTATTTGTGTTTTTGGTTGGTTTTGCGTTTGGATTTGGTTTGTTTTTGTTTGCTTTTTGCGTTTGTTTTTTTGTTGTTATTGGTTGGTATTGGTGTTTGTGGTTGGGTTTGTTGTTAGGTTTTTGTTTTCGTTTGCTTGTTTGTTTGTTTTTTCTTTGTGTTTGTATTGGTGTTTGTGGTTGTGGTTGGGTTTTTGTTAGGTTTTTGTTTTTGTTTGTATTTGTAATTGTGTTAGCGTTATGTTTGCGTTTTGTTGTTTTGGTTGGTTGTGGTTTGGGTGGGCAATGCCGGGTTTATGATGATTACTAAACACACAGGTGATGGACTTTAACAGAAAGGTTTTTCACAGAAGCCAGAGCAGGGCCTGGCCGGGACGGCTAGTTATTATATAAATGGTACAGCCTAAATAAAAGCCAATTGAACAGAGAAGACACCGTGTGAGTACTGGTGTAGCTCATGACATGAGTGGCATCAGGAGTGAACTCATTCATGACATGAGTGGCATCAGGAGTGAACTCATTCATGACATGAGTGGCATCCGGAGTGAACTCATTCATGACATGAGTGGCATCAGGAGTGAACTCATTCATGACATGAGTGGCATCCGGAGTGAACTCATTCATGACATGAGTGGCATCAGGAGTAAACTCATTCATGACATGAGTGGCATCAGGAGTGAACACATTCATGACATGAGTGGCATCCGGAGTGAACTCATTCATGACATGAGTGGCATCCGGAGTGAACTCATTCATGACATGAGTGGCATCCGGAGTGAACTCATTCATGACATGAGTGGCATCCGGAGTGAACTCATTCATGACATGAGTGGCATCAGGAGTAAACTCATTCATGACATGAGTGGCATCAGGAGTGAACACATTCATGACATGAGTGGCATCAGGAGTAAACTCATTCAAAGTATGACAAACCTCTGAGCAAATGTGGAAGTTGATGATAACACAGACAAAGTTGTAGATGATAAGGGGCACTTTCAGCTGCAGGGCTGGTCTTTTCTCCATCATCTTGGGCAAGACCCAAACAGCCAACAGATAGGCAGCAGTGATGGCTAGTGTGGGGGTGTAGCCCCACATCAGAGGCCAGTCTGACACACGCTCATCTGGCAGGGAAACATCAGAAATCTCTCATTGCTACATCAACTCTAATCCATACTACTACATGTACCAAGGCACCACCCACAGACACATGACACCAACATCCACAGAAACATGACACCAACACCACCACCCACAGACACATGACACCAACACCACCACCCACAGAAACATGACACCAACACCACCACCCACAGAAACATGACACCACCACCACCACCCACAGACACATGACACCAACACCACCACCCACAGACACATGACACCAACACCACCACCCACAGAAACATGACACCAACACCACCACCCACAGACACATGACACCAACATCCACAGAAACATGACACCAACACCACCACCCACAGAAACATGACACCAACACCACCACCCACAGACACATGACACCACCACCACCACCCACAGACACATGACACCAACACCACCACCCACAGACACATGACACCAACATCCACAGAAACATGACACCAACACCACCACCCACAGAAACATGACACCAACACCACCACCCACAGACACATGACACCACCACCACCACCCACAGACACATGACACCAACACCACCACCCACAGACACATGACACCAACACCACCACCCACAGACACATGACACCAACACCACCACCCACAGACACATGACACCAACACCACCATCCACATGACACCAACACCACCACCCACAGACACATGACACCAACACCACCACCCACAGAAACATGACACCAACACCACCACCCACAGAAACATGACACCAACACCACCACCCACAGAAACATGACACCAACACCACCACCCACAGACACATGACACCAACACCACCACCCACAGAAACATGACACCAACACCACCACCCACAGAAACATGACACCAACACCACCATCCACAGAAACATGACACCAACACCACCACCCACAGACACATGACACCAACACCACCACCCACAGAAACATGACACCAACACCACCATCCACAGAAACATGACACCAACACCACCACCCACAGAAACATGACACCAACACCACCACCCACAGAAACATGACACCAACACCACCACCCACAGACACATGACACCAACATCCACAGAAACATGACACCAACACCACCACCCACAGAAACATGACACCAACACCACCACCCACAGAAACATGACACCAACACCACCTCCCAGAGACACATGACACCAACATCCACAGAAACATGACACCAACACCACCTCCCAGAGACACATGACACCAACACCACCACCCACAGAAACATGACACCAACACCACCACCCACAGACACATGACACCAACACCACCACCCACAGAAACATGACACCAACACCACCACCCACAGAAACATGACACCAACACCACCACCCACAGAAACATGACACCAACACCACCACCCACAGAAACATGACACCAACACCACCACCCACAGAAACATGACACCAACACCACCACCCACAGACACATGACACCAACACCACCACCCACAGAAACATGACACCAACACCACCACCCACAGAAACATGACACCAACACCACCACCCACAGAAACATGACACCAACACCACCACCCACAGAAACATGACACCAACACCACCTCCCAGAGACACATGACACCAACACCACCTCCCAGAGACACATGACACCAACACCACCATCCACATGACACCACCACCACCACCACCCACAGAAACATGACACCAACACCACCACCCACAGACACATGACACCACCACCACCCACAGACACATGACACCAACACCACCACCCACATGACACCAACACCACCACCCACATGACACCACCACCACCTCCCAGAGACACATGACACCACCACCACCACCCACAGAAACATGACACCAACACCACCACCCACAGACACATGACACCACCACCACCCACAGACACATGACACCAACACCACCACCCACATGACACCAACACCACCACCTACATGACACCAACACCACCTCCCAGAGACACATGACACCAACACCACCACCCACAGACACATGACACCAACACCACCACCCACAGAAACATGACACCAACACCACCTCCCAGAGACACATGACACCACCACCACCACCTCCCAGAGACACATGACACCAACACCACCATCCACATGACACCAACACCACCACCCACAGAAACATGACACCAACACCACCACCACCCACAGACACATGACACCACCACCACCTCCCAGAGACACCAACACCACCATCCACAGACACCACCACCACCACCATCCACAGACACCACCACCCAGACACATGACACCAACACCACCACAAACCACAGAAACATGACACCACCACCACCACCCACAGACACATGACACCACCACCCACTGACACATGACACCACCACCACCCACAGACACATGACACCAACACCACCATTCACAGACACCACCACCACCCACATACACAAGTGAACCACTTTACCTGCCACTGAGAAAGCCCAGTCATAGAACTGTTGGAACTGAGAAATTTTGTCTACAACCAACTCCATCATGTAGGACAATCAATACTTGTTAGACCACTGACAAAAATACATAAATACTTGTTAGACCACTGACAAAAATACATCAACACTTGTTAGACCACTGACAAAAATACATCAACACTTGTTAGACCACTGACAAAAATACATCAACACTTGTTAGACCACTGACAAAAATACATCAATATTTGTTAGACCACTGACAAAAATACATCAGCACTTGTTAGACCACTGACAAAAGTACATCAATACTTGTTAGACCACTGACAAAAATACATCAACACTTGTTAGACCACTGACAAAAATACATCAACACTTGTTAGACCACTGACAAAAATACATCAACACTTGTTAGACCACTGACAAAAATACATCAATATTTGTTAGACCACTGACAAAAATACATCAGCACTTGTTAGACCACTGACAAAAGTACATCAATACTTGTTAGACCACTGACAAAAATACATCAACAATTGTTAGACCATATAAAGAAATAATAAAATAAAATGGCCACGAAGTGACGTCAGTAGAATGTTCTGTGTGTGGAAAAAAAAATGGTTTGACCTACTCTAAGTAGGCTACACTGTCTAAATATAGAAAGTCCACTTCAAGTCATTCTAAAGTCTTTCAAATTTGGATCAATAGAGACCTGGTTACCTAGTGTTGTGGAAACCATTGATTGGTTTAAACACTTGAGTTCAACTAGATCAAACTCTCACAAACATCTTGCTGCTAAATAGTTCTCTTAGTTTTATAGCTAAAAATTTCTCTTAGTTTTATAGCTAAACATTTCTCTCAGTTTTATAGCTAAACATTTCTCTCAGTTTTATAGCTAAACATTTCTCTTAGTTTTATAGCTAAACATTTCTCTCAGTTTTATAGCTAAACATTTCTCTTAGTTTTATAGCTAAACATTTCTCTTAGTTTTATAGCTAAACATTTCTCTTAGTTTTATTGCTAAATATTTCTCTTAGTTTTATAGATAAATAGTTCTCTTAGTTTATAGCTAATCATTTCTCTGCGAAAGAAAACTCCAAAATCAAAAACTGCTGCCTTTTAGTTTGTTCTTGGTTGGACAAAAGCTATGGAAGTTAATTTTTAAAAAAGAGGGCTGAAATCAGAGTCAACTGCCTGTATGGTGCGTAACAAGTTGACACGCATAACAAGTTGACACGCATAACAAGTTGACACACATAACAAGTTGTTGACACACATTAACACACAATTCTTAATTGTGTTGGAGGAAATCCCTTCCAACTTTAAAATTAAGATCAAAGAATAAGAAAAAAATTAATAAAAGTAGAAAATTAAAAAAATATATAAAACATTTATAATTAAAAAATTGTTAATGCACTGAACATTTTTTTTAATTAATAAAAAAATTGCTAAGTTTAGTGAAAATATTGGTTGTTTATGGAATCTCTTACTAAGACAATCTGATACTAGAACTAGATTCTAGAACTAGATTCTAGTAGGCCTACAAGATGATTGGGACTACTTCAAGTTTAGACTTAGGGGTCATGCATTTTTTAATTTTATTTTATGATTTTTACTTCCTACCCCTACCCACTATCACACATAAAGCTCCCTAAATTGACATTACACCACAGCCTACAACCCCAACGCCCCCACCCACCCCATCTAAATTGCAGTTAATTTTATTTAAAAGCATCAATTTCTTTCTAAACTACAGAATGAGCTGAGAGTAGTATATTAATCAATTTCTATTACAAAAACAGTTTCAATTTTCAAAATTTAAATTCTAGTATTACTATCTCAACCCCTCCCCACAGGAATGTAACATTTTTATGGACAACTGTTTAGAGTCTTAGTCTAGAATCTAGATCAGGTAATCTATTGTTTTAGGTACGTAAAATCCCCCGCGACTAGTAAAGTGAAAAACAGGTGACTCCTTAAATTTTATTAAAATTATTTCACATTTTAAGGAGGATTTATGTTTTGAAAAATACAAAAATGTTTCCTTGTTTCATATATCATTTTATATGTACATGTTTTTAAACAATTGAATTAAAACTTTTCCGTAATAAATGAAGACTAGCAATGTTTCCAACAGATGCAACCATGCTCATTTACTATAGCAGCCATCTTGTTTAAGTTTTATTTTTATAAGCTTATAGCACGAGATTCAGGGGAAGCCACTCTATTTTACAAATGGCTGCTGTTTACATAGCCAATCTTGCTCTCAGACACTGGTGTTAAAAGTTAATTTCTGGCCTATATCGATATATTAAATATATTATTAATTATATATTTAGCCATTGATTTAGGTTTATTATTCATATAATATTTGACACAAACATATGACAATATACCTCTATTAAAGCCTTGACAATGAGGTAACGTATTTGTACATTAATAGCTGCGGGCGATTTTTACGTACCCAAAACGATAGATTACCCTAGATCAATATATTAATTATTAATTAGTATAATAACTTAATAAGAGTAGAATCAATTAATAGCATACTATATTTAATTTTAAGATTATATTAGGTTATAGAACACTAATAGATTGTAATAGATGTCTATTCTATAACCTATTCCTATTATGTCTACTACTTAGAAACTCCATCAAATTGTTTTGAGTTATTAAAATTTATTAAGATTATTCTCAATTTAGTTAGGAGAATTTACTAAGTAATAATTTTATTAGTGCCAAACTATCAAGAAGTTATTGCACTAGCATAACAGGGCATAACTTTAATAGTAATAGTTAATACTAGATCTAGATTTCTAGATCTAGATTCTAAATCTAGTCTCTAATATTAGAGACGACATCTTTTCCCCAAATGAACGGAAGTAGGCACCTGAGATCTAGATCTATAAAATCTCTAGATCTAGATCTAGATTTCTAAATCTAGAATTCTAGAATCTAGATCTAGATCTTAGTCTACACTCAACACTGTATCTAGAATCTAAATCTGTTCATGGAAATCTAGATCAAGAATCTAGAATAGATCAAGAATCTAGACTAGATAAAATTTCTAGATTCTAGATCTAGATCTACTTTTATCTGAAATAGCTGCCGCCATCCCAGGCTAAGTCAGAGAGCCTTAAAAAAAGCTTGATCTAGAAATCTAGGTAGGTCTAGATCTAGAAACAAGGCAAAAGGCTAAGGGTTTTTCTAGATCTAGATCTACAAAGTTATATTCACTGTGCAGTCTTTTAAAATAAAAATCACAAAATCAAAGGTTAACTTACCTAGACAAAGATGACTGAAGGAGTTTGATCTAGAGTAGACTATGTACAACGATCCGTTCATAACTAAGATAAAGCCCTGCCGGTAACAGGAAACGACATGTTAAGCGTTGCCCCGAACAACTGCAAAGCATAACAAAGTAACAAAATGCTGTTTGGTTAAGGTTAGACTCGAATACAAATTTAAAAGATTCTAAAAATATCAAAGAAGCCAAAACGGTAATTCACAATAGTTTTTCTTTTCAGTGGCCATTGGGGGCCTACTTTAAAAATTAAAATATTAAAATCTACACTTCTGTATGACTCTTCTCTACTAATCTCTATTCAGTAGTGACGGTAGCATAGATCTACTTCCGTCCCTTAACCTTAATCCTCAGGGCTTCCTTAAATTTAAATCCTAAATATTTTCTAGATCTAGATTAGATCTAGATCTAGATTTTTAAGCTCTACTTATCTGATCTAGAATATAGTCTAGATCTAGACTACATAATCTACATAAATAACATAATAATGTTCTCATGTTAGGCTACATTTTTGACTAATACTCAGTGCCGGCGCTAGGTTATTTAGATCTAGATCTAGTAATATTTAGCGCCCTAGGCCAGTGGCGGATTAAGGGGGGTGCTGAGGGGGCTGCAGCCAGGGGCCCCCGATTTTTAGGGGCCCCCAAATTTCCTTTTTCAATCATAGTAAATTTCCTTTAAAGTGAAAACTTTGTTTTTTTTTTTGCTTTTTTACTATAAAAGTAAAAGCCAATGTTTTAATATCTGAATGACAAATTTATTTCAATTTTTGATCAAAATATCAAACTCGAGCACACACTTTAGTATAAATACCAGCCCGGACAGCGTTTGCTTATAACAATAAATTGGGTTAATTTTAGCGTTAAAAACACAAACAGAGGTCAAATTCTGACACATAAATGACATGCATCTGGTGTGAATACTGTATGATTTAAACTTTTAAAAACATTTATAGGCCTTTACTTTTAGTGAACGTTAATATCGGGTTTACAGGCCAGGGATGACGTTCTTTGAATGGACGCCTGTGGAAATCCAACTTTTTGTGGGCCTCATAAATGAATGACACCTAAGAGGATGGAGGTGTGGGTTTTTTTAACGCTTATACCGTGCTTACTGTTTTAGTTGGGCCTAGTTTAACCTCTGTATGTTATTGATAATTTCCTACATAGTGTGGTTTGATATTCTTTGTTTTCTTTTTGCGTCTATAATCAAATAAGTGCCAATAAGTCTGCAAATAAGTCTGCTCTGTAACGACATTATAATATTCTCATGGATATTTACGTTTATTCAAGGTTAGTATGCATTTCCAGCTTTCTCATGCCCAATATAAAAACTTGAATTACAGTTCAATAACTATCGTGACACGGATATACAGGCTCAGGAGTTTGACTCCCATTAGCCAGGGAGGTCTCGACGTAGTGAACTCCAACTAAATGGCAAATTGTGAACTGAATCAGGCTCACTGAGATGTTGGTTTGAAACACTACATGATGGTCGCTTATCCATCCATAGGCCCTATCCAGGCTTTACTTCCCCCACCGCCAGACGCGGGAAATCGTCTTACCGTCTGGTACCCGGCTAGATCGCGGGGCAGAGGTCGGAAACTTCTACAGGCCTAAACTAAACAGTCATATATTTAGTGCTACTGACGTAGCGGATGGATCTCGCCTGTGTTTTGTGAGTGTGTGTGTCGTGGTAGTGGGTGGGGACAACATATAATCATGCTAAAAATGAGTACATATTGGTTAGATGTTAGGGGATCGGCGTGGTCGAGTCGGTAAAGCTCGTGGATGGTTAACCGAAATGTCTCGAGTTCAAATCCTCGGACAGATGAGGCTCGTTAGCTGGGGATAGCCACTCTTCTAGGAGAGACAACTCCAAAGTCAAACATCTGCTGTTGTAACTTGTTTGTTCTAGGTTGGGCAAAGGCTATGGAAACACATTAAAATAAACCGGGAGTGATCTCCCCTAATCTTTCTCGAATATTCTTATATAAAACAACAGGGGATGGGAACTCCATTTTAAATACTTAAAGTTTTTAAACTAGAATAAAATCTCGTAGAAAAAAAGGATTGCACACCAAGTGAACGCCAAATGAAATGTGCATAATAGTGCGCAATATTATTAGTACTTTATAAATTTACATGCGTTTTTTGAGAAATCGGAAATAGCGTAAATTACTACTTCGGTCAACGGAAATTACTCAAAATTTGATAGAAGGTAGAGAATTAGATCTTTTACTTACGTGTGAAATTTCATTTATCTGTCTGAAATAGTACTCAAGTTATAGGCTTTTGAAAAATTCAAAATAGAAAAAGTACCACTTCTGGATGTCGGAAATCGCTCAAAAATTGATAGGGATCTACGATTTTGATAAAATACTTATATATAAAATTTCATCAACCTAGCTGTAACGGACACACATTATCGTGTTTACACACACACACACAGACATGCGGACAAGCTTGCGATTACAAGACTTTTTCTATACTTCATATATACGAGAAAGTAAAAAGAAAAGCAGGCTGAAATCAGAGTCAATGGTCTCAATGGTGCCTAACCAGTTGACACGTATACTTAACTGTATTGGAGGGGATCCCTTCCAACACTAAAATTAAGATCAAAGAAGAAGAAGAAGGTTAGATGTTTGTATCCAATTTACCGCTCATTGAACACAATTGACAGCTTTTTAAATTAGCAGTTTTGTAAATATCGGTGTCGAATATTCCTATAAGTTATAAATAATCCATTAATATCTTGAATGGTATGCTGATTAGGATATATATATATATATATATATATATATATATATATATATATATATATATATATATATATATATATATATATATATATATATATATACATATATATATAATCAGGGGCCCCCAAAGTGTTTCAGCCCGGGGCCCCGCCCAAGCTTAATCCGCCCCTGCCCTAGGCATATATATATATATAAATTACATTATATATATATATATATATATATATATATATATATATATATATATATATATATATATATATATAATAGGCCTATATATATGCCTGTATGAATATGTATATATTTATATATATATATATATATATATATATATATATATATATATATATATATATATATATATATATAGGGTCATCCATAAATAACGTCACACTCGTAGGGGGGATGGGGTTCCGTAATTTTGTGACGGTGTGTGATATGGGGGGGGGGGGGGTTCAGACGGTGGGACGTCACACTTTTGCATTATAAAAAAGCATTTTTAGAAAACGTATTTTAGACGTTATTTCGCGTTTTAGAAAACTGTTTTAATAAAATGTAAAAGGAATTGATTAAAATACTTTATTTTCACAGAGTTCAGACAAGATTTTGGAAAAATATCGATGTTTTGAAAAGCTTCAACTGAAATTTTGAGGGGGGGGGGGGGGTTGTGGGCTGAAGTGTGACGTCTTTTTAGGGATGAGGCTGGCTTTTTGTGACGATGTGTGACGGAGGGGAGGGGGGAGGTAAAAATCGTCAAAAAAGCGTGACGTCATTTATGGATGACCCCCCATACAGGCTATATTATATATAGACCAATACATAATATATATAAATATATAAATGTGTGTATATATATATATATATATATATATATATATATATATATATATATATATATATATATATATATAGGCCTATTTGTAGGCCCATATATTTATCTACATACTATTAAAACTCAAGTTTGTTTACATGTTTGAATATTAATTTTTTTGTTGGTCCGTTTGGTTACAAAGGAGAATCTGCACTATGTGTAGAGCTGTAAAATAGTATGTAGGTAGAGAACAATTTTCTTTTTTAGACAGACTGTTAATCACACATTAATTTAAAGACGTTAATTAATTAATTGATTTATTCATTGGTAGATTAACCACATTAATTATAAAAGTTCAGAACAATGACTTTACTTACAGTGAATAGTTACGTTACGTGATTTATTTACTTTTTACTACAATAATGGCGGCTTCCATCTAGAGTTACGGCAAAATCTCGACTTAATCAAGCCGCCAACTCTATATACTTAACTTACTTACTTACTTAATCCTCATCACTCCCTGTGGAGTATAGGGCAGCAACAAATCTCCGCCATTCCACCCTGTCCTGGGCGAACCACTTTAGTTCATGCCAGGTTTTGCCAGTAGCCTGTACTTCTTCTTCCATCTCCCTCCTCCATGTTCCCAGTGGTCTTCCTCTATTTCTCTTTCCGGGTGGGTTCCACTTCAGCGCCATGTTGGGGAGTCTTTTTTTACTCATGCGTAGGACATGGCCCAGCCATCTCCATCTCCTCGTTCGAACTTCTGAGACAATGTCGTTTAATCCTGTCCTTCGCCATATTTCCTTGTTCGGGACTTTGTCGTCCCACTTTATCCTGAGGATGCGTTGGAGGGATCTTCTTTCAAAGCCTCTGAGTCGGCTCTCTCCTTTCTTGTTTAGTTTCCATGACTCTGCAGCATAGAGGAGTACAGAACGTACATTTGACTTATAGATCCTTATTTTAGTTCTCTGCTGCAGTGAGGATGATTTCCAGATCTTAGCGAGTCTGCCAACTCTATATAGATCTAGATAATAAAGTGTCTATACTAAACTATTTCAGACCATCATTATTTTATATAAATCTTTGTTTGTTTAGCTATGGATTTGGCTAATTTAAGATACAATTTAATTTGAAATATAGGTCTAGGTTATGTATGGTTTTCGCAAAATAATGCAAATAATATCATGCTATTTTGGCATTAAATCAAAAGTCAAAGCCCACCTTTGGGGTCATCTATTTATGAAGTCCGCAAATTTTTTGGATTTTGGACCCCCCCCCCCTCCCG